GAATATTACTAATTTTGCTTAATTCACTGAAAAGTAAGGTTTGTGTTAATATTGTTTGGACAATTAAATGCCTGTATCTTGTACTCTGAGTAACTTATTTAAAGGTAATAATATGCAACGTATTAATCATTGTTACTCTCCTATTATCCTATTTTGAAATTTTGTTTCATTTTTTTCTCTTTAAAATAAAATTTAAAAAAAATCAAAAAAATTTAAAAATCTGAAAAAATCCCCTAAGTGATTCACTTTTCCTACTGATTGAACAATTGTTCTTTCATATTAAATTCCCGTGAATTCTAGTATCTATTTCTACATACCTATTATATTCTACTGAAATAAATTTGCGTCTCCAGATATCCAAATGTTTTGCACCCCCAACCCGACTCCGGACCTTGAGAATGCATGTACCCCTCCTGCTATGAGTGTAGGTAATAAAGAATTCATTTCAGATCCACTGAAGATATGATGTTTATCATAAATTGTGTTGTAACATAGGCTGCTTTAAAGATAGGATTTCTATTCACAGACAATTTGCATGTGATTTCACCTTATATTCCCCCTTTCATGGGGTATCTATGGAAAGACTACTTAGAAATTTACCATCCGTTGGGTACAATAATGTTAACTCCATTCTACATAATAGAAGAGAATGAGTAGGAAAACTGAATTTGATTAAGCAGTAATTCTATACAATGAATGATCTAGAGTCTATTACAACTACCTCTTCTCTGTGGAAGGGCAAGAAAAGTATGCATGAATGAATTCCTGCCAATAAATAATTCTTTAGAAAGTCTTTCCTAAGTATGATCAAAATCTATAGCTTGGTAAGTAGCAACTCTGTTAGTTTTTAGTTTGTAGTAATTCTTATTCTGGAGGCAGGATATAATTCCTTTATAATATTTTTTTAAGTCAAAAGGGAATTTTTGGAACACTGAACAACAATAGTTGTACTTTTCTATTGTCTTATAAAAAACTTTTTTTTTTCTTTTTGAGACAAGGTCTCACTATGCAGTTCAGGCTGGTCTTAAACTCACTTTGTAGCCCAGGCTGGCTTCAAACTCACAATGATCCTCGTGCCTCAGCCTCCTGAGTGCTGGGATTACAGGCGTGTGCCACCATGCCCGGCAAAAAAAGTCTTTGATCAGCTGATTTAGAATTTTATTAATGTTAAAAACCAACATATATATGTTTAAAAAGTCATGATGTTTATAGGTACATTACTTACTAGATCTCCTGACAATATCTGTTGCACTTGAGGATTAGAAATCATCTATAATTCTACAGGCTTCTTATCATATGCTGTTCCAATGATACTAATAATCAACAATCAGATGTTGTGTAGACAGAGGAAAACTCAACAATAGTAATGAGAATGGAGATTTCTTAAGGGGTAAAAAACATTAACTGGCATATGCTATTAAAAGAAACAAGCTCAAGTCTTGAAACTACTTGATTCTTAACAAGCTCTTAGACTTAAGTGTCATTAACGTTTGGTAGATGGGCTGAATTGTCAAACCTAACAATATAACTTGTTCTGATTAAGAAGCACAGATTTTGGCATCAATTATGTCTTTTCCATTCTTGCTCAAAATGGATACTTGTATTTATATGACCTCAGAGTATAAAATGACAACATTAATTTTCAATTAGTCCTGAAAAAGACAAATAGTGATATGACATTAAAGTTGACTCACCACTGTCCTCTGTTTGTTGGGCAGGAAGACTCTAACAATAGGTTTTTGTGGTGACTTGGGGTTGCTGCGTGACACATCTGAAGGATTTTGAAAAACTGAAAGAGATGAAGGTAGCACTGAAAGGCTGGAAGAGGAAGAAGATGTAACGGTGTCCAATGATGCGGAGCTAGAAACAGAAAAATCAGTTCCATTCCCGAGGGATTCCAGTAACTGCTGTTCTCTTTGTTGGAGGGCATCTAGCTTGCTGGTGTATTCTTCATAGGCCTATAAAATAAAGTAGGCTAACATTGAATCTTGACTTTGTCCTGGCATTAACAAAAGAAAATATGAAATTTCGGTCTTTGATTATAATTTTCTTATAACTTAGCAAGGTTTTAAGTTAAATGTTATAAAGTGCTGAAAATATTATTAATGAATACTAGTACTTTAAATGGAAAAATTACTACAAGACAATATTACATTCCACTGAGAAACCTTACATATATGTGATGTCTAGATGATCTATGAATATTAATTTAAGCACAGTATTTTCCAATTTTCTGATCCAATAACAATTTACCAAATCACATGTCTAGCATAAGATAAAATATTGTACTACATCAAGAATAAATATCTCTTTTTTTATGAAGTTTTATTTTCCAGAAAATAAAACCAGCGTGGTGGTGCACTCTTATAATCTCAGCACTCAGGAGGCTGAGGCAGGAGAATCTTGAGTTTGATGCCAGCCTGGGCTACCTAGGAAGTTCCAGGCCAGCCCTGACTACTGAGCAAGATTCTGTCAAAAAAAAATTTTTTTTGGGGGGGTAAGCATATAAATTTCTCTCTTTCTGAATATTAAAAGAGGCTGAAAAGGAGATGTATTAGGACAGATCTGTCAAAATACGAGACTGAGGTCCACAGTGTCAGATCTCACTGTCAGCTAAAAACTAAAAACTCCTGAAAAGGGTTTAGATGTTTTAACTGCTACCTTCTTTCTGAAATAGCTACCAGTTAAAATACTTTATTCTTTAAAAACAAAAAACCAACACTACAGATCTGCTTAGAGAATAATAACTATTTTTAAATGTGGCTTCCACTCCACAATCAGGAAATTCTGGGGCCACTACCCACCAGGGCATCCTCACAGAAGTTTCATTTGACTAGGGTATATCGAACTCTAAAGGAACAGTGATGCTGAAAGGACAAAGATGGAGTGCATGGAATGTGTGTCTACAATTAAGGCAGTGCCAATCCCTGTACTCATCCTCCACTCTGCTCCCTACCATCCCAGACAGATGTAATACTACACACATTAATGAAAGACCACAGGAAAAGTCACAGAGTTTAATATGGCATTTCCTGTCTGCCGGTGAGTTTACAATTAGGCTATGGAGAAGCAGAGGTCTGTACTGTAATTAGCGCCCTGTGAATATTTACTATACAAGAGATAAGCAGCACTCGTGGTATCGGAGGAATAGGGAATAGAAACATTGGTATTTGGGGAGAGGAAATAGAGAGGAAGACCCTTCGTACAGGAGTAATCTGCAACAAAATACTGTGGGAACATGTATCTAAGACACAGAGGAAAAACTATAGGCTGGTATAGCCAAATGCTATATAATACATGAGACAGAGTAAGGGATCAGTATGTGCTTGTAGGATTTAAATGAAGAACTGGTACACAGTGGAATAAGACTGAAATGGAGTTAAGAGGTTGTAGAGTGGATATGCCATACTGTAAAATGCAGACTTCATTCTGCAAGCAAAGGAGACTTATCAAAGGTAGAGAAAAATGAAAGAGAAATTTCATTTCAGTGAAGAGCACAGAACTCTGATATGCCATATCATCCATATTACTTTGAGGAAGCATAAAAGAAAATACTAAAATGAACTACTGAGGTAAGGGACATAAACTGCATCAAAATACCCTCTCCTTCCTTACAACCTACAAATTGTCCTCTGATTTTAAATTGTTTCATAGCATATTAGGCAGGAGAATCTTGAGTTTGATGCCAGCCTGGGCTTCCTAGGAAGTTCCAGGCCAGTCCTGCCTACTGAGCAAGATTCTGTCAAAAAATTTTTACAATATAAGTTTCTTTCTGAATATTAAAAGAGGCTGAAAAGGAGATGTATTAGGACAGATCTGTCAAAATATGAGACGGAGGTCCACAGGGCATAATAAATAATTATAGGGCATTATAAATAAATAAATCAATTTATAAATAAATCAATTCATTTTTTTCTGAGCTGTGATTCTGTTTAGCTTTCAGTTCCAATGGCTAATTAAGGGTATCTCTCTTAATATGATTCACTTATCAAGTCTTCAATCATTCAATAAATATATACTGACCATACAAATGCCTGGCATGGTGTAGGGCTCTGATTTAAAAAAGACTGACCCATTTTTTACTCTCTGAAGGTACAAATATGCAGTCTAGGAAGCAACAGACTCCTGCTTGCATAAATCAAATATTCTTACTTATGTTCATTTGGGAAGTATATTTACTATATAAAATTAGCCTCAGGAAAGGTAGTTAATGGAAACAATGAATTTCCCAAATGTTATTTTCTTATCAAAATCTTAGCTTTAGGTTTTGAAAATACACTGGTTCCACCATTTTGGATTACTAGCATTTCACTGCATTTACCAATACCCTACCTTTTGTTAAGTACAAAATGTATGCTTATTCCCCTCATCCTCACAGCTGCAGATGACCAAGGTGCTTGGCTCATCTCATCTCCTTGTCCTTGCTCCATTCTGTGTGACTCTGATTACTCCTGCCTTAGAGTTACCGAACCTTATTCTAAGGGCATTTATTCCCATGTCCTCTATGCATCTTTAAGACCTAGAGACACACATACCACCATCTTTTCAATCTGTAACTTTCATATCCCTGCAAGCACATATTTACTCTACCTTGTTAAATATACATTTCAATGTCACATTAATCTGCTCAAGGTCAGCTTTAGCCCCTCAATTTTTCAGATTTGGGCCGTTTTGGTCTTTCTTTCCATACTCTGGCTCATCACTTCAGTGATGCCCTTACTAACTAAAATTTTAGATTCTCTGGCAAAATTTTTTTCTTTTCCTTTTTATGGAGACAGGGTTTTATTGTACTATGCAGCCAGGTTGGCCTTGAACTCAATCCTCTTGCAGCCTCCCTGGGATTTAGGAGGCATGTGCCACCACTCCCAGTTTCTAGCTGCTTCTTGTTCTTTTATTAACAAATTTGCTAAATACCATTTTTGGGTAAATCCTTCTGTCCATTTATTTTACACACACACACACACACACCCTTTAGGCTACCACACAATGTTAGAGAAAACTTTAAAAAACAAAACACAAAACTAGGCCAGTTAGTTCCATTATCAATACATGGAACTTAAGATTCACCTGGTCCTTCATAATGGTGTGTGAAATATTTTATTTATTTTAATCAACATAGCGTGTTCTTTACAATACTGATTCTAACCTTTCTGTTTTTCTCTGGATCCCAACCTCATCCTTCACACTGAAAAAAATTGCCTTTAACTTTACTCTAAAGGTCAAATTCATCAAATGAAAGCCGCCTCCTCTACTTTTTTGTCTAAATAACTGTCCACATCCCCATTTTCTTTTACGTTCAACTCTCCTTTTCTTCTGCTTCTAAATCCACACATGTAAACAAGTCAGCCCCACATAAACTCACATTTCAACCACCATCAACAATAAAATTCCTTGGGTCTTCCAAATGTGCAGATACCAGGTACTGCCACAGGATTCAACTTTTCAAACCTCCTACTTTTCATCAAAGCTGTACTTATTTTTCAAAGTTTAATTTTAAGCTCTCCTTGATAAAACCCAAAAAGCTATCCTTTCTCTTTATTCCAGAGACTGCCACATGCTCATCCATAATAATGAGGAGTAGTAAAAAAAACAAACTAGTAATTCTTTCTGTGGTTATTAATATTACTAGATTACACAGCTGTTCTTGACATGATTCTCCAAACCTGTAAGCTAGATCTAGATAAGAGCACAGATTTTGTCTTTATTTTCTTTTACTAAAAAAGCAGAGACTCTAAGAAGGTAGTATCATTAAAATGACAATATTCCCCAAATTGATCTACAAGTCCAATGCTGACCTTATCAAAATCCCAGTTTGTTATTTCTGTAGAAACACACAGACTGATCTTGAAATTCATATGGCAATGCAAAGGACTCAGAGTAAAAATTAAACAACTCTGAAAAACAATAAAGTTGAAGCATGAATACTTCTTGTCTCAAAACTTACTAAAAGCTGTAACAGTCAAGACAGTTCAGTATTGGTATAAGGATATTCAGATGTAATAAGAGATCTGATCATACATTTGTGGTCAAGTGACTTTCAACAATGATGTCAAGACAAGTTAATGGGGGAAACGTGGTTTTTTTCAACAAATAACACTGATCCAATTGGATAGTCACACGCAACACAATAAAGTTAAACTACTACCTAATATCATATTCACATTTACTCAAAATGGAGCATACTCTCAAAATATAGGAACTAAAACTATAAAACTCCTACAAGAAAACATGAACTCTTACAACTCAATAACAGAAATGCATATAAATCCTAATTTTAAAACAGACAAAGGAGGTGAAAGGTGTTTTTCCAAAAAAATACACATAATAATTACATGGCTTTCTAGTATCATTAATCATGCAAACTAAAACCAAACTCTGATACCAATACACTCCTACTAGGATAGCTGTAATCAAAACAAAATGGAAAATAACAAGTGTTGGTGAGGATATAGAGAAATAAGAACTCCCATACATTGCTGCTGGAAATATAAAATAGTATAAAGACTCAGCAGTTCCTCAAAATGTAAGCATTACCACAGAATCCTGCAATTCTATATCTAGGCACACAATGAAGAGAACTGACAACCATGTTTACACAAAACCTATACATGAATTTTCACTGGAGAATTACTAGTAATATCTAAAAGATGTAAATGGCCCAAGTATTCATCAATTGAGAACTGGATAAACAAATGTTTTTTTAAAACTTTTTATTGGTGCATTTTAGATATGCATAACGAGCACACTCATCATAGGGAGTTTATAGCTGTGCATAATATATCTTGCTGCTGTTTCTTTTCCATTCCTCTCCCCTCCCTTTGGCCCCCCCTTCCTTTCCTTATTTACAAAAGCTTTTTGTTTCCATTTTATCCTTGTCCCTTCATTCCTTTCCTCCTCCCCTCTCCCCTGTTCCCTTTCTCATTTGAACATCTTCTTCCCATTTCCCAGTATCTATTAT